GAGGAGGAGAAGGAGAGGAGGAGTAGGAAGGAAGAAAAGAGGAGGAGGACGAGTGGGGAGGGAGGAGGAGGGGAGGGGGAGGGGAGGAGGAGGAGAGGAGGAGGAGGGGGGGAGGAGGAGGAGGAGGGGGAGGAGGAGGAGGAGGAGGACGCAGGACGCAGCATAGAACGGCGAATCATCCGAGAACGCAACGACAACTATATAATATTGGGCAAGGGTGATAAAACACCAGCCCTCAAGGAAAACCAAGCAAATTACGGATTAGACTGGACGAGCCTGATCCCAGGTGTTGGGTGCCTGCCTTCCGAGAGCCAGACCCTGGCTCGCCGGCGGGCAGGGTCAGGGGGCTTCGTGGGGCAGGGCTCACCGAGGGCCTCGATCTTGGCAGAGCCCAGGGAAACTCGGGCCCCGCAAAGCCCACAGAACAGGAAGGACCCTGCCCTGTGAATATGGTGCCCGTCGCACACGAGAAGACTCCCACCCGCCTCCGCATCCAAACTGGCAGCAGCAGGAGGAGGAGGAGGAGGAGGAGGAGGGGAAGGGGGCGGAGTGGGGGAGGAGGAGGAGGAGGAGGAGGAGGAGGAGGAGGAGGAAGAGGAGGAGGACCAGTGCAAACCCCAGACTCATCAACGATTTTGGAATACACCCTTCCTCCAACCTCCCTCTTCAAATGCCCCTATACAAGGGTTCATTCTCGTTGAGGGAAGTGCCCCGTTGAGAAAGAGCCGTTTGAAAATCTGGAAGAGTGCCCAAACACCGCTCTCGAGACTTCAGCGCCACGAATCAACCTGACTGTTACGTGTGACGACCCTGAGTCGTGCCAGAACACCCTTTTTCGGATTTCAACATCGCGATTCAACGTATCTGTTGCGCCCTGACAATCCTGAATCGCTCCCAAACCGTATCTGGTACGCTAACCATGAGAATTCCGTGAAACTCTTGCACATGTTTAAAACGCTTGTGCGCGGCGTTAATGCGAGAGCAACTTTTTGAACATGAGCCGCCTTCGATCAGTGAAGCGCTTGCAACGGTTTAACACGAATGTGCGCGGCGCGAAGCTGATACCCACATGTTGAAATGGAACCGCTCTCGAAATGTGAAGCCCTTGCAGCTTTTTGTGACGAATGTGTGCGGCGCTGAGGCGACAGACACATTTTGAACTTCAGCCGATGTGAATCCGTGAAACACTTGCAGATTTTGATGACGAAGGTGCGCGGCGCGGATGCGAGAGCCACATGTTGCAGACGACCCACCCGCAACCCATGAAAGTTTTGCAAGCTTGTGGGATGAATGCGCGCGACGCTGCGGCGAGATCTACATTTTGAGAACGACCCGCCCTCAATCCATGAAGCTTCTGAAAATGTTTGAGGCGACTGGGCGCTAAGACAAAAGCCACGTTTGGAAAGCCACCCACCCTCAATATGAGAAACGGTTTCCAAGTCGGAAGCTTCCGGGTCAGACATGGAGAGGAAGTCACAGGCGAAGCGTCCGGCCCGCCCTTCCGATTGGCCTCGGGGTGCGACAGGGAGGAGTAGAAGGAAACGTAAAGGAGAAGTTGGAAGAGGGGGATGAGGAGGAACAGTGTAAACCCAATACTTCTCAACGATGTCCGAATCAACCCTCCATCCAACCTCCCTCTTCATAGGCCCTAGAAGGATGCATTTCCAGTGAGGAATGTGCCCCGCTGGCGTGCCAAACTGCCATTCTCGGGACTCCAGCGCCACGAATCAACCTGACGGTTGCGCTGTGGCGACCCTGAATCGTGCCAGAACACAATTCCAATTCCTGAGACTTTAATACCGCGAATCAACGTAACTGCTCTGCCCTGACAGTCCTGAATCGCTCCAGAATCGTATCTGGTACGTTAACGATGAGAATTCCGTGAAACACTTGCGAATGTTTAAAACCCTTGTGCACGGCGTTAACGCGAGAGCCATTTGTTGAAAAGGAACCGCGCGGCGCGAAGGCGATATCCATGTTTATTAGAAGGAGCTGCTCTCAAAATGTGAAGCCCTTGGAGTTCTTTGAAACTAATATCTGCGGCGCTGAGGCGAGAGACATTTTGAACACCACCCACGGTGAATCCGTGAAACACTTGCAGATTTTGATGACGAGGGTGCGCGGCGCGATGACGATAACCACATTTTGAAGACGACCCGCAACCCATGAAAGTTTTGCAAGTTTGTGAGATGAATGCGTGCGGCATTGCCGCGAGAGCTACATGTTGAAAACGACCTGCCCTCAATCCATGAAGCTCTTGAAAGTATTTGAGGCGACTGTGCGGTAAGACAGAAGCCACGTTTTGAAAACCGCCTGCCTGTAATTTGTGAAACGGTTTCCCATTCTCAAGCTTCAGGATAAAATTGGGAAGGGAGTCTCAGGCGAAAGGCCCGGCCCACGCTTTCGACCGGCCTCGGGGTGCGACGGGGAGGAGCTACTTAGAAGGAAAGAGAAATCAGGAGGAGGAGGAGAAGGAGGACGAGGAGGGGGAGGAGGAGGAGGAGGAGGAGGAGGAGGACCATTGCAAACCCAATTTTCATCCAAGCTCCTTTTTCATAGGCCCTTACGAGGGTTCATTTCCTTTGAGGAATGCCACGTTGGGAGACAACCGATTGAAGATCCTGAAGCGTGCCAAACCACCATTGTCGGGACCCCAACGCCACGAATCACCTTGACTGTTGCGTCTTGACGATCCTGAATCGCGCCAGAACGCCGTTCCTGGGACTCCAACACCGCGAATCAAAGTAACTGTTGCGCCCTGACCTTCCTGAATCCTGCCGAAACACAGCTTCTGGTACGTTGACCATGGGATGCAGTGCAACTCTTGCACATGTTTGAGACGAATGTGCGCGGCGCGAAGGCGAGAACCACATTTTGCAGACTACCCGTCCGCAACCCGTGAAAGTTTCGCAAACTTTGTGAGACGAATGCCCGCGGCGCCACGGCTAGAGCCACCATTTTGAAAACGGCCCGCCCTCAAATCGGCGAGTTCTTGCAATTGTTTTAAGTCGAATGCGCGCCGCGCTGCGGCGAGAGCATTATGTCGAAGACCGCCCGCTCTCCATTTGTGAAACTTCTGAAATGGTGAGGAAGTCTCTGGCGAAACGTCCGGCCCGCCCTTTCGACCGGCCCCGGGGGGCGACGGGGAGCGATTATTCATGAGCAAAGGGAATGGAAGGGGGGATGTGGGGGGGAGGGGGAGTGGGAGGGGGTCAAGCTAGGCGCGCTGGAGTCACATCTGACGTCCTACCCTTCCCTCCCATCCATCACCATGACGTGGATCTCCTGTCAAGTCGCACAATCGGATGTCGAGCAGGGCAATGATCCCAAGAGGGTACGCGATGGATGGAAAAACATAGCGTAGAAGAGCACGGCAGATCATAGCATGTCTTTGCATGCCGTACAATTGCGTAGTGAAGCAGCGCATCACGAAGCATAGCAACGTAAAGCATGGGGTCGCACAGCATCGCATTGCATGCCGTGGCATGGCACCAGATGATTTGGAGGGTAAGTGGCCCGTCTACGAGAGGACAGGGCCTGTCCGGAACGCCGGCTCCATGTCCTCCGCAACCGTGCTTGCCCGATATGCGCGCTTTCGAATGCCGAGTTCCGTCCAGTGAGGGCACTGTAATTTTTGAAGCCGCCCCCCTCCTTTCGACACGCTCCCTCGCGTTCCCCGGACCCCCTTACAAGTCTCCCTGGGCTCCTGGTGGCACCGGGAGCCCAGGGAGACCAGCGGGAACGAGGCCAGCGCTGCAGCGAGAGCACGATTTTGAATGACCGAAGCTCGGAAATGAGGGTGGCGCTGCAGAGGGAGCACCATTCTGGAAGAACTGGAAGCGACTGGATTGACAAAACACATGAGAATAGCCAAATAATAACATCCTGTGTCTCAAAGCAATGCGCGGAGAGGACGGGGCACTCTCCAGACAGAGTCTGGGGAGAGAGGAAAGTCGTAGCGATCATATTGTGTCATTGTGGGGGAGGAGGAGGAGGAGGAGGAGGAGGAGGAGGAGGAGGAGGAGGAGGAGGAGGAGGAGGAGGAGGAGGAGGAGGAGGGGAATCATAATGATAGGAATAATGAAATTAAGAAATGCAATAACAATTATACGAATACGAATGATAATAATACAAATGTAAAGCATACGGATAAGAACAACTACAAACAAGGGAGGAGGAAAAAGGAGGAGGAGGAAAAGGAGGAGGAAAAGGAGGAGGAAAAGGAGGAGGAGGAGGAGCAGGAGGAGGTGGAGGAGTGGGAAGGAGGGAGGAGGAGGAGGAGGAGGAGGGGGGGGTAGGAGGAAGGAGGAGGGGAGGAGGGGGGACGAAGAGGCGGAGGAGGAGTCGGAGGAGAGGAGGAGGGGAGGAGGAAGAGGAGGAGAGGAGGAGAGGCATGGAGGAGAGGAGGAGGAGGTGAGAGAGGATAGGAGGGAGAGGAGGAGATGGAGGAGAGGGAGGAGGGAGAGTCGGAGGAGAGGCGAAGGAGGAGAGGGAGAGAGGAGATGGAGGAGGAGGAGGAGGAGGAGGAGGAGGAGGAGGACGAGGACGAGGACGTGGACGAGGACGAGAACGAGGACGAGGGCGAGGAGGAGGAGGAGGAGGAGGAGGAGGAGGAGGAGCATGGTCGGCAGCTTTGGCTCAGCGTGTCGCGCCGCTGGGTCCGGCCCACCACGCTGCGGCGCGACACGCTGACCACGTCCCAGTCCCCAAGCATCCACGGCTCGAGCTTTTCGCTCCGCCTGGGGAGCGGAGCGAGCTGGCAGGGTGCATAGCGTGCCGCGGGGGCCGCGCCGCGACAAGTGAAGACAAAAGTTTCGGACCGGCCCCCCACCCTGGGGGCCCCAAGACAGCCTCATTACAGTGAGTGTGCGCAGCCGTTCTGGCTCAAGCTGTTTTAGTCGGAGTTTTCCAGCGCAGGCCGTTCTGGTAGGGCCAACGCCCACTGTGTACGTCGAGGCTGCAGGGATCCGCGCGCAATCCGAGACACTTCGCTTGGCACTATGACCAAGAAGGAGAAGAAGGACGACCAAGCTCCTGGTAAGGACGACAAGCCAAAACCAGCAGACGGGGATCAGAAGGGTAAGGCAGGCACGACCCCCAAGGCTTCGGGCAAGGCAGGCACAGCGAACGAGGCTGCCGGCAAGGAGAGTACGAATCTCAAGCCCGGGTCTGTCGGAGCGGGTAGCGAGAGCGGCGGGGGCGGCAGCCGCGGGGTTCTCGCAGTGGTGCTTGTCGCGTGCGCGGTCGGCTTGGCGGCAGCGGGCGGCTACTTCTTCATGCTGCACGGCCAGGACAGGGCAGCCGTTGGGGGCGCCGCTCGGCAAGAGAGGGACAAGACGCCCTTCCCCTGCAAGGAGCGCTACGCCGACGACGAGATCAGGTCCTTCGTGGACCGGCACCTGGCGGGCGCGAAGGGCGGCCACAAGGAGCCCCAGCTCCTGCTGATGCTCGGCGGCTCGGGGGCGGGCAAGGGCACCTTCATCGATAAGTGGAAGAGCGCGGAGCAGAGAGGCCAGGCCTCCGGGCACCCCCTGTCAGGCTTCCTGTCCGGCGGCCTGCGGCCAGCCCCGCCGGCGCGTCGGCGCAGAGGGCGGGAGGCTCCGGCCGAAGCTCCCGCCTCGGCTCCTTCCCCGCTCTGCTCCGGCGCGGGCCTCCGACGTTGCCTCCTCGTCGGCAGCTTCGTCCTCCGCCTGTCTCCTCCTGCTCCGGGCTCCTCCCCACGCATCCTCCGTCCCGTCGGAAGGAGGGCGGGCGGAGGAGCAGAAGGCGGGGCAGGATCCTTGGGGCTTCTAGGTGTCTCCTCTACAGGGCATCTTTGGGCCTCTGGGGGCCTCTGGGGGGCCTCTTCGGGGCCTGTCGGGAACCCGTTGGATCGTCCTGGGGCCATCCCTGGCGCGATGGCGCTCCCGAGCTCTCCCGAAAATGCTCGGGTGAACCATCTTGGGAGCGGCTGGACGGGCCTCGAGGCCATCTTGGACCCGTCTTGGGGTGCTCTGGGGCTGTCTTGGGGCCGTCTTGGAGGCCTTGGGGGCTGTGTTTGGGCGATCCTTGACCATCCGGGGCGTTTTTCGAGAGCCGGCCAGGTCAACACACTGCCAAGGCGGAGAGTACAGTGGAGGCCCATGCCAAGAAAAACCCTGCTTGCCTCCAGGGTGCCTTGGGTTTCTTCGGTTTCGATGGTCTTGCTATGGGAAGCGTGACGCTCCCACACCAAAAGTCAATGGACGTCCTGAGGTCTCAGGGTTGGGCTTCCTGTGGAAGGTTTCTTGTGGGCGGGACCCTACTGTAGTTTAGGCTTCCTGGGCTGGCCCTCAGGACCTCCGAGACGGCCCAAGTAGTGGAACGAACAATGACATAAACACAAAAACTCGGAGGTCCGCGCGGATTTCTCGGATCGGCGCTGGACCCCCCTGGCGGCGCCTCTGGCGCCGCCCCTGGCGCGCTCCGCGCGCCAGGGACCCCGAATTGCGCATCCAGGGCCTCGGGAATGGCCACACGGTGAATCCCAAGAGCGCCCAAGAGCGCTCAGGCCATGCCAGAAACTTGGTACTGCGGGCCCTTAAAGTTAAGTCTGGCATGTCTCTCTACAGGAGGGGTATTCAAACATAGTTTTAAAATAGTCAGGGGACGATTTTTAGTTTTTTTACTGTTTGAGTATCTTTTGTGTACTTTTTATGTTTCGTCCAGAAACGCCCTGCAGGAGGACATGCCCGACCAAATCTCAACGAGCGAGCGCAATGCTCTGTACAGAGAACTCGAAGAGACCCGAGGATACTCCAGGCAACGTGTCATTGAGGCGACCTCCTCGTCCTCTTCCTGCTCCTCCTCTTTCTCCTCCTCCTACTCCTCCTCCCCCTTCCCCTCCCCCTCCTCCTTCGCCTCCCACTCCGCCTCATCCTCCTTCTTCTTCTCCTCCTCCTCCTCCTCCTCCTCGCCCTCCTCCTCCTCCTCCTGCTCCTCCTCCTGTTCCTCCTTCGTCCTCCTTCTCCTCCTTCTCCTCCTCCTCCTCCTCCTCCTCCTCCTCCTGCTCCTCCAGTTCCTCCTCCCTCCTGCTCCTCCTCCTGTTCCTCCTCCCTCCTCCCTCCTCCCTCCTCACGTTTTTTATTCTCTCGCCCAGCGCACGCCCGGCTCTGCTGCAGCAGCAGCTGCCCGAGGACACTCTGCTCTCGGTGCCTCGTGGCACGGTGTGGGGGGATAGCACGGCCGTGCGCAGCAAAGCACCCCCTTAGCATTCAGCTGGGCCTGTCCCTCTACCATAGTAATAACATAAGAAATAGTTAAGATAGTTAAAACAATCGTCTGTCCCTCCTCCCCCTATTCCTCCTCCCCCTCCCCCTCCTCCCCCTCCTCCTCCTCCTCCTCCTCGTCCTCCTCCTCTCCCTCAAAAAATACTTTAAAAAGAGTCGGGCCTGTCTCTCTACCGTACCAGGAGGAAGGTTCAAAAATAGCTCAAGCATAGTATGGGGACCATCGTTTGACTATTTCTAAGCATGTTCGAAGTATGTTTGGGGTATGCTTAATCACTCGTCCAAAATCCCCCTGTAGGGGGACAGGCCCGACCTGACCTTAGCAACACGTCGTAGCGTAGCATGGCGCAGCATGGCATTGCATTGCATTGCATTGCATTGCACACCATGTCGTAACGCAGCACTGCATACACACAGCCAAGCATGCAACACGTCGGCAACCAGTGTCTCACAGTGCACGTAGTAATCAGACGTCTCGCAGCACCAGGGCGGCAAGGGTATACGAGCAAGCACACCACAACGTTGAACATGTCGATGTTGGAATTAGCGCGCAGGGGAGCATGTGGCAGAGCTGCTGCTGGCATGGCGTAGGCTGACTTGGAAGCACACTGCAGCCTCGGCATGGCAAGATGTGGCATGACATGGCAGCCCGGCACAGGTCCGAGCACCGTCCGGCGCAGCATCGCATGCGCCAGCGCACTCGACACGGCGCGGCGCCACGACGCACAGCACACCACGTGCTGGAACGTCGCACCAGCAGCGCGTCGCCGTCACACCACAGCGCCCCTGCGCAGCACCTGCGCAGCACCTGCGCAGCGCAGCACCTGCCCGGGACTGCGCAGCGCCCCGGCGACGCGGCACGGGCTCGGAGGCCTGCGCACGTCGGGGCGCCTCCCAGCAGGACCCTGCGGTCGACCGCGGGAGCGCCGCGGAGCTGGCCGTGCTCCGGGAGCTCGCGGTCTGGGCCCAAGGCGGCCTCCCTCTCCACGGGTGCCAGCGCGAGGGCGCGTGGACGGCCGCGCGTCGCGCAGCTGGGTGACCGCCGAGGAGCGCGACGCGCGAGGCCTGGGTGGCTCAGCATCAGGGGAGCGCTTCCTACAGCGAAGGCGCGGGAGCGAGGAGCAGGTCGGGTTTGGGAGGGGCCCGGTGTTCTTCGAGTCCTCCCGTGGTTGTTCCTGCAGCGCTCGTCGTGCACCCAGGCGCTCCTGGGGCCACGCAAGAGGCTTCATTTCTGATCTCGCCTTCCCTGTGGCAGTAGCTTCGCTGTGGTTTGGGGGACGCTGCCACTTCGAGTGCTGTCCTCGGTCCTCGCTTGAAGCCTGTTTTAGCTTTCCTGGGGCCTCTCGGGGCCACTTGCGGCATCTCGGGGGCACCTTGGAGTCTCAGGGTGGGTCGCTAAGCCGTCTGCGCTTGGTCCTCGGACAGCTCGCAGCCGTGCTGGGGCCGCCCTGGGGCCGTCCAGAGGCCGGAAGGGGCGCCAGGGAGCAGAACAGTCGGGGGCCCCTCGAGTCTGCAGTCAGGGGGGGTCGGTGCGAGAAGCCTTCAGATCCCCACCAACATTCCACACCGCGACAGCACGGTGGCGGATTCCATGGCCTGGACGAGTACCTTCCGTACATACCAGAGTACCAGAAGTCAGTCAACGACAAGGCGTTCGTCTACAAGGACGCCGCAGACGCGTGCTACAAGCCCGCGGCCATTCCAGCGGCGAAGCTGGCTGGTGACCGGATAGTGGCTGACAGAATGGATTTGATTTATGAGGAGACAGGAAAAAGTATGGATCGCATCGTAAAGCGTGTGTTGCCACCTTTTCTGAAAGCTGGGTACCGTATCACGACGGTGCTCGTCCACAACAAGCCCGAGATCGCCATCGGCAGGGCCGCTGGACGCTTCCAGAAAACAGGCCGCTACGCCCCCGACGACTACATCCAGGGGACCTTCGCCAACAACCTGGAGACGTACATGGGGCTGCAGAAGGTGGACGGGCTGTCAGAGTTCGTCTACTGCGACAACTCCGCGAAGCAGATCAGCTGCTGGCGGGACCGCGCCGATGGAGGAGCGCTGGTGCCGTCGAGCATCCTCCTCGACGGACCCCCTGTCACCATGGGCTCCAAGCCGGCCGCGAAGTTGGCCGCAAAGCCGGCCGAGAAGCCGGCCGCCAAACCGGCCGCGAAGAAGCCCGCCGCAGAGCCGGCCGAGAAGCCAGCCGCGAAGAAGCCGGCCGCGAAGAAGCCGGCGGAGAAGCCGGCCGCGAAGAAGTCGGCGGAGAAGCCGGCCGCGAAGAAGCCGGCGGAGAAGCCGGCCGCGAAGAAGCCGGCAGCGAAGATGCCGGCCGAGAAGCCGGCCGCGGGCAAAGGCCGGGGGCCCACGGTGCCACCTGCAGGCGGCAAGGGCAGAGGCGGCGAGCTCTAAAGGCGCTCTGCCCTGCGAGCGGGCGGTGCAGCTGAGCGCAGATCGAGGACTCCGGGGGGTAGGGGGCCTCCTCCTCCTCCTCCGCCTCCTCCGCCTCCTCCTCCTCCTCCTCCTCCTCCTCCTTTCCTCCTCCTTTCCTCCTCCGCCTCCTCCTCCTTTCCTCCTCCTCCTCCTCCGTCCTCCTCCTCCTCCTCCTCCTCCTCCTCCTCCTCCTCCTCCTCCTCCTCCTTCCTCCTCCCGCCTCCTCCTCCCCTCCGCCTCCTCCTCCTCCGCCCCCTCCTCCTCCCCCTCCTTAAATAGGTCCTCCGCCCCTGGCCAGGCAGGGCACAGGATCGGTGCATGCGCCTCCCTTGCCGAGCCAGGGGGGCGTACACGCACCGCTCCTGGGCCCAGGATGGGCCTGGTCGGGGGCGGTGGACGTCCACCCAGACATGATCGCGTCGTAAAACAAAAAAATCAGGACGGCAAGTTGTTCGCTATTTTCGGCCCCTGGGGGCCCTCGCCGGCCCCCGGGACCGTCAAAAAACGACCCAGGACGAAAAACCGGCCCCGGGGGAAGGGTCTGGACTTCCGGGGACGCCGTCCTGAAAAAATCAGGATGTCTCATGTCTGAGTACACTTCTCGGCGCCCGATGCGTGCCGACGTGGCAGCGACCCCACCGCGGGCGTTCAATATCGAACGCCGCCGGTGGCCCAGAGTTGGCCAACATGGAGCGACGTGGCGGTCGAGACGCCGTCGACCGGTCAGGGCGGAACGGTCCGTGCGGCGTGAGAATCCAGCGCCGAGGTTGTCACGGCACGCACCTGCCGTGGCCGTAGCGCTAAGTTGGGCAGGAGGCCTATTCAAAAATAGTCAAAAATAGTCAGGGGACGATTTTTCAATTATTATTTGACTAGTTTCGAGTATTTGTTTGACTACCTTTTATTTTTCCTCCAAGATCCCTCTGTGGGGGGACGCGCCCGACCTGAACGTAGGAGTGACCCTTCGTTGGAAGGGGGAGTGACCTCCCCAGACATGCGACGTCCTGATTTTTTGAGGACGGCGTCCCCGGAAGTCCAGACCTTTCCCCGGAGCCGGTTTTTCGTCCTGGGTCGTTTTTTGACGGTCCCGGGGGCCGGCGGGGGCCCTCAGGGGCCGAAAATAGCGAACAACTTGCCGCCCTGATTTTTTTACGACGCGATCATGTCTGGGTCTGGTGCGTGTTTTTTTGAGAGGGGGCGCGCGGGGGCCCATCCCGAGCGCGCCGACCGCCGCCGTCGCGTCGCAGTTTGCACGATCGGCACGCCGCGCACCTTAGGGGGCTACCGCCTGCCTGGGGGCACGCTTGCGTGTGGCCTTAATCGGCAACACCCCAACATATTTATACTATATGTGCGTCGCCCCCCAGGGGCGACGCGCGCACCGAGAAATCTTATAGTATATGCGTCGTGGCGGGCGCTTTCTGGCCACACCGCTCGGGAAACGATATACTACAAGATGGGGTCGGAGAAGATGGGGTCGGAGGATCGCGCCGCATCGACGATGCATCGGCGATGCGGCTCGATGTGGAGCCCGATTTGCTCCATGTCGGCGTCGCCGATGCCTCGCCCACGTCGACGATGCATCGCCAGTGCATCGCTGATGCATCGCCGATACATCGCCGATGCATCGCCGATGTATCGCCGATGCGGCGGGATACTCCGACCCCATCTACTCCGACCCCATCTAGGAGGCCTCTACTTAAGTCGGGCATGTCCCTCTGCAGGGGGAGTATTCAAACCTAGTCGAACAATTCTATGGGACAGATTTCGTTACTATTTTCGAATATTTGGGGGCATGTCTTGCGTATGTTTTCAACTTCTTCCTCAAAAAATCTGCCTGTAGGGGGGACATGTCCGACCAAAGCATAGGGGCACGCTTGCATGTAGCCGCCGATCGTTCAGGGTTGAACGATCCACGCATTGTCAGAGATCAGCGCCGGGGTCGTCACGACACGAGCCTGCCGTGGCGATCACCCAGACCTCCGACGTTTGATCCTGCGTCGTTTCTGACGGCCCCGGGGCCTGGCGAGGGCTCGCCAGAGGCCGAACATGGGAAAACACGCGCCAACAAAACCGTGCGTCATGTTTTTTTGTTTCGCGACGCGATGGGGGTCTGGGAATGGGGAGCATTGTGGTCTAGGCCTCCCTGATGGGGTCGGAGTATAGATGGGTTCGAAGGATCTCGACGCATCGCCGATGCATCGGCGATGCGGCTCGATGTGGAGCCCGATTTTCTCAACGCCTGCGTCGCCGACGCATCGCCGGCGTCGCGGGTGCATCGCCCATGCATCGGCGATGCATCGCCGATGCGGCTCGATCCTCCGACCCCGTTTACTTCAACCCCATCTGGGATGCTTCGTTGTGCACCCCCCAGGACTGAGCAGCCCCAGCTCGACGCGCGCTCGCGCGCCGCTGTTTTCCAGGGGCAGGCTTAAGTCGGGCCTGTCCCTCTACAGGGGGACAATTGAGAAATGGTCCCAAAATAGTCCGGGGACGATTTTTTGACTACATTTGCCCATGGGGGGGGTATTTTCTTAGTTTTCTTAATTTTTCACCCCAAATCCCCCTGCAGGGGGACACGCCCGACTTAAGGGCAGGCATCAGGCAGACCGCTGGGCTGGCGCGCGGACCGACACAGACAGGGACGGGTCCTTCAGAGTCTCGACGGTGGGCTCCGGTTTTGCCGCCAGCTGGTCTATAAAAGTGAACGAGGGCGCCCACCTTGGGGGGCGGGCCCTCCTCCGCCGCTGCAGTCCCCCCCCCTCCTTCTCCCCCTCTCCCTCCTCCTTCCCCCCTGCCCTCCTCCTCCTCCTCCTCCTCCTCCTCCTCCTCCTCCTTCTCCTCCTCCTCCAATTCCTTACCGACTTCGTGCGGCGAGAATGGTCTCCTCGGTTCTGGGCTCGACGTTTTGCTATTGTGCAGTTTTTCTCGCGCTCGACCCTCCTTTCTCGTGTTTCAGGCCTGCCGCGGGGAGTCGAGACAGGACTAACGCGATCACTCTCAGCAGTACCCCAAGGGCGGCGATGCAGCAGGCCCTCTTGGTGGCAAATGAGCACTCAGCATCACCTCGTCCCGCACACGAGGGGAGCGGCTCGGAGAAAAAGCGTGACCCCAGCGTGCAGACTCGCTTTCTTCGCCCTTTCTGTTCCTCCCTCCATCCTGACCAAGGGCTCCCTCGAGGGCGCGAAGTTATTCGCGCTTCGCGCTTCGCGGTCCTCGTTCCTTCTCCCCCTCCTCCTCGTCCTCCTATTCTCCCTTTGGGGGGGCGGCGCGAGGGCGCGAAGTTATTCGCGCTTCGCGCTTCGCGGAGCGCGAAGCGCGAAGTTGGGAGCCCTAGCTTTCTTCGCCCTTTCTGTTCCTCCCTCCATCCTGACATCCTGCATGATACCTGATCGAGCGACGGCTCGGCCAATGGTCTCCTGGGAGGTCCGCCGTCGGCCGTGGTGAGTTGGCCGGGCGCTGGGCTCGTCTCGGACAGGTTATCCAGGGCCTTGCCCCGTCCCGTAATCTAGGGCGACGAGATCTATGCATATCCACTGCTCCTGGCCAGGCCAATCCTGGGCCCAGGAGCGGTGTATACGCCCTCCTGGCCTGGCCAGGGAGGCATATACACATCTCCTGGGCCCAGGATGGGCCTGGCCAGGAGCAGTGAATATGTATAGATCTCGTCGCCCTATAATTGGCCCCATGGAAGGAAAACCCTCGCTGGTGCCTGGATCAAGTGTGCCAGGGTCGGAGTCCTCACCCCCAGGGGCTGCAGGTCCGGGTGCTTCGAGGCCTCTGGAGGACGCTGGACCTCCCTGGTGGCGCCTCCGGCGCCGCCCTGTGTCGATCCAAGAGATCGAGCGGACCTGTGAAAGCTTATGTTTGTGCAGCGCCCCTCCTGATTCAGATCACCCGTCAGACTGTCCAGTGCCTCCTCGGGGCCAGCTGCGCACCAGCGAAGTGTCCTCGGCATCACCCTAACATACTTATACTATATGTGCTTCGCCCCCCCGGAGGCGACGCGCGCACCGAGAAATCTTATAGTATATGCGTCGTGGGGGGCGCTTTCTGGCCACACCGCTCGGGAAACGATATACTACAAGATGGGTATACTATATGTTCGGGTCGGACGCGCGCCTCCAAGGAGGACATATAGTACTAGTATGTCTTTGTGCTTCCCATGTCCGAAGAGAGCCGGGCAGCGGGACCCTTGCTGGGGCCTCGCCGAGACTTGGGGCGCGCGCGCGGTGGTCCTGCCGACGCAGGGCAAGCAGGGGCAACGACGCCTCATCTTCATTCTCCTCCTCCCCCTCCCTCCCTACTCCTCCCCCATCCCTGCTCCTCCTCCTCCTCCTCCTCCTCCTCCTCCTCCTCCTCTCCTCCTCCTCCTCCTCCTCCTCCTCTTCCCTCCTCCTCCTCCTCCTCCTCCTCCTCCCCTCCTCCTCCTCCTCCTCCTCCTCCCCACATCCCTCCTCCTTCTTCGACTACACAATACGAATACTACTCTCCTCTCTCCCGTGATGACGTCCAGAGGATATTCGGCCCCCCTCCGCGTATGGTTTTTTTGTGCACAGGATTCCCGGGAGTTGGGTTTTCGCTTAGGTTGTTTTTCAAAATGTTTCTCCCGCTGAAGCGCTGGCCTCATTTTCGGGCTTCCGCTCGTTCCGAATCGTGCTCCCGCTGCAGCGCTGGCCTCATCTCCGCGCTTCCGCTCGTTCCGAATCGAGCTCCCGCTGCAGCGTTGGCGTCATTATTTCCAGTGTCATGCCAAGGCATGCAATACAATGCTATGTGGTGTTCCGCTCTGCGATGCAATGCCTTCAGCTGCAATGTGAGGATGTGCAGTGCTTGACTACGCAGTGCCACGCCATGCTATGCCATGCTGCGCTTTGATCTTCCACGCTATGCTATGCCATGTTCTGTTCTGTGCCGCTGTGCGATGCCATTATTTGCATTGCAATGATTTGTGCTGCAATTCTTCACAACGCAACGCCATGCTATGACGTACTACGCTCTGCCGTGCTCTTCTACGCCCTGCTATGCCGTGCTCTAATATGGGTCGGGCACCCTCTCGTGGTCATTGCCCTGCTCGACATCCAACTGCGCGAATAGAGGGGATATCTACGCCATGAGAAGAAATTAAGGGAGCGGTAGGACGTCAGATATGACGCGAGCGCACCTAGCTTGCCTCCTCCGCCTCGCTCCTCCCCCCATCCTCCTCCTTCTCCTTCCCGCTCTCCTCCCCGCTCTCCTCCTCTTCCTCCTCCTCCTCCGCTTCCTCCCCCTCCTCATCCATTCCTTTCCCTTATCTTATAAATAATTTCTCCCCGTCGCATCCCGAAGACAGTTTTTAGGGCGGGTCGGGCGTTTCGCTTGAGACTTCCTCACCATTCATGACCCTATTTAATGCTTAAACAACGACAGCAATATTCACATGTGGAGGGCGGCTCGTTGTGAAAATGTGGCTCTCGCCATAGCGCCGCGCACACTCGATTCAAACATGAGCACGAGTTTCACAACATGTGGCTCGCGTCTGAGCGCCGCGCACAGTCGGTTTAAGCATTTGAAAGCTTCACGGATGGAGGGCGTGTGGTTTTCAAAATGTGGATCTCGCCATAGCGCCGCGCACATTCGATTTAAACAGCAGCAAGAGCTTCACGGATTGAGGGCGGGTGGTTTTCAAAATGTGGCTCTCGCTTTAGCGCCGCGCACATTCGATTTAAACATTTGCAAGGGCTTCAGGGGTTGAGGGCGGGTAGTTTTCAAACTGTGTCTCTCGTTTTTGGCGCCGCGCACATTCGATCTAAACATTTGCAAGAGCTTCACGGGTTGAGGGCGGGTGGTTTTCAAAATGTGGCTCTCGCTGTAGCGTCGCGCACATTCGATCTAAACATTTGCAAGGGCTTCACGGATTGAGGGCGTCCTTTTCAAAATGTGGTTCTCGCCTGGGCGCCGCGCACATTCGCATTAGACATGCGCAAGTATTTTTCGGGCTCCCATGATCAACGTGCCAGAAATTGTGTTTGGGAAGGGTTCAGGATTAAGAGGGTGCCGCACTTACGTTGGTTCGCGGTGTTGAAGTCCCAGGAATGGCGTTTTGTCACGACTCAAGATCGTCAAGACGCAACGGTCAAGTTCTCCCGTGGCGATGGAGTCCCGAGAACAATGTTTTAGCATGTTTCAGGGTCTTCGAACAGTTGTCTGTCAACGGTGCAGTTCCGTCAGTGGAAATGAACCGTTGTATGGGGCCTATGAAGAGGGAGCTTGGAGGAAGGGCTTATTCCAACATCGTTGATGATCCTTGGGTTGCCACTGGTCATCCTCCTCTTCCTCCGCCTCCCTTCCTTTTCCTTGTGGGTGGCTCTTCCTCGTCGCACTCCGAGGCCGCTCGAAAAGGCGGGCTTGGCGGTTCGCCGGAGATTTCCTCGCCATTTATGTTCCTCAAGCTGTAACATTGGCAACAGTGTCACGGATGGAGGTCGGATGGTTTTCGGCATGTGGTTCTCGCTCTAGCGCCGCGCACACTCGAAATAAACAATTGCAAGAGTTTCACGGGTTGAAAGCGGGCGGTTTCTTACGTGTGGTTCTCGCCGTAGTGCCGCGCACAGTCGCTTTAAACATTTGCGAGAGTTTCGCGGATCGAGGGTGAGCCGTTTTCAAAATGTGGTTCCCGCCTTAGCGCCGCGCACACTCGTCTTAAACATTTGCCAGAGCTTCACGGGTAGAGGGCGGTTCCTTTTCAATATGTGGCTCTCGCCTTGGCGGCACGCGCATTCGTCTAAACAAGCTTGAAGAGTTTCACGGGCTCGCATGGCTAGCGTAGCAGGAACGGGGTCTTGGAACGGTTCAGGGATGTCAAGGTGCAACAGTTGCCTTGGTTCGCGATGTTGAACTCCCAGGAACCGTGCTCTAGCACGGTTCAAGACTGTCAAGACGCAACAGTGTGGTTGATTAGTGGCTCTGGAGTCCCAAGAATGTTGTTCTGGCAAGTTTCAGGATCTTCAAACGGTTGTCTCCCAACGGGGTATTTCCTACAGTGGAAATGAACCGTTGTAGGGGCCTATGAAGAGGGAGCTCGGAGGGGGGGGATTACAACATCTTTGATGACTCGTGGGTGTACACTGGTCCTCCTCCTCCTCCTCGCCCTCGTCCTCCTCACGTTAGGCAGACTTTGAGCGGGGCTCGTAGCGTCGTCGTCGTCGTCCTCCTCCTCCTCCTCCTCCTCCTCGTCCTCCTCGTCCTCGTCCTCGTCCTTTTCCTACCTCCTCCTCCTCGTCCACTTCGTCCTCCTCACGTTAGGCAGACTTAGAGCGGGGCTCGTAGCGTCGTCTTCGTCCTCGTCCTCATCCTCCTCCTCCTCCTCCTCCTCCTCCACTTCCTCCTCCTCACGTTAGGCAGACTTTGAGCAGTGATCGTGGCGTCGTCGTCGTCCTCCCACTCCTCC